TATATATATATATATATATATATATATATATATATAGCCTCCTCTCCAGATAGATAGAGAGTTTAAGATCTACGTCAATTTTAACTCCATGAAGTGAAGTCTGCCACTAGAATTAAAAAAGGAGCAAGGAGCAAGAATCAAGTGACATGTGAAATGAAATTTATGATAAAACAAAACAAGATCGGATCATGCACTATGGTTTCTGGAACACGGACCTTTCTGCAAGCATTGCTGAACCCTCTTCAAATAGTTCCTCAACTACACCAACTGCAGAAAGCTTCTTTGCTAGCTTATTAACAGAATCCTTTGGCTTTCTCCTGAAGATGAAAGACTTGAGTCTGTTCACCTTTTTTGGAGTGGATGGAGGAGGTTCTGATGATTGATCAGTTTGAGTTATATCAACAACAATGCAAGTAGTGTCATCCTTCAACCCCCTTGTCCTAAGTGCTTCCTGATAGGTTATCAGCCACGATGTAGTGACAAAAAAAATCAATCGGTTACTCTTAATAATGGAGAAATGAATTCTTATACAAGACTGTGAAAATGCTAAAGAAACGATTCATGATGGTGCAACAAATCTCTGAGCTCAAAAATGACAGGGTAATGTTAATCACCTTAACAACTTGTCTGGCAGCAAGCTCTGCAGGCAATCCTCGGCAAGAGTTTGCAGCCATATCAGAGGTCAGGGCATCCCAAATACCATCTGAAGCAATTATAAGTCTTCCCCCAGCTTTTAAAAGCTAGCACAAAAATGGAGATCTTTAGGACAAGCAAACAAAGGAAGGTAGCTAAATATTTAAATTCATGTTAGTCAGAAAGAGTGGTGGCAAGATATTGTTGAGAACTTACTACGAAAATCCTTATGATCCATGTTATCTAGTAGAAAGAACGGAAATACCTTGATTTGCTTCACATAAGGTACTGGAACAATAAATTCCCCAACATCCATGTCTCCTATTGATCTGGATAGGCATAATCCTCCTGGCCAACAGCGAAGGGGACCTATCTGAAAATGAGGCACAAAATATATGAAGGTGAATAATGCGATCATCGAGCACCATAGCAAATATGAATTATAGGTATTTAATTTTTTTATAATATAAATAAATAAATATCCCACCTCAGCACCACCTACAATGCTGAGCCTTCCCACTTCACCTCCACTAGCAGTAACACGTTCCCTCCTACCATGACATATTAATCATATTTAAGAGGATAGAATTAAAGGAACATAATGGTGCAAGATACAGCACCGATACCCACTCTTCAACATTTTCTTCTAGCCTATGATCAACAGTCAATGCAGAAATCACCCCTCCCTGTGCATCCAAAATGCATCGAGAATCACCAACTGACGCAACAGTGATTGTCCATCCATCAATTATCACAAATGTAACAGTGGTTCCAGATGTTTGTCCTGAAAAAAGTTCATGGAACATATGTTTTTTTTATAAATCGACTAAATGTGGGAAAAACATCCATGAGCACATCTCAAAAAGAAAGGAAGCAAAAGCATGCCTTTTCTCTGGAATTCTTTATCAGTCTTGACAAATCCAGCAACCAAAGCACGCGGCAGAGCTTGAAGCCACTCTTCCCGCCCAAGCCCATGGGGAATTGCACCCATGACATGATTCAACAAGTTGTCTCTTGTATATATTGCTGCTGCATTACCATTATGCCCATCAAGGACCTGAAGAATTTTTTTAAAATAAATCAGTTCATTAAAATTCATAATGCAAGTAATCAACATATCACAACTCCTTATGAGCCAAGACTACCCGGAGACTGTGTTTATGGCATTTTAACACGTAAGCGATAAAATATTTTTAATTGACTTGGAGCAAAGATTTGACATGTGAACAGAAGTTACTTTGACAACAAATCAGCAAAGAAGATATTAGCTCATTAGACCTTTATTTTTGCGGTAAAAAGATTACACTCAAACTAGGCCTACTACAAAGGAGTCCATTTAGATGAGTGCGACTTAAGAAGGAAGTCAAACCCAAAAGTATAATATTATTGAGTTATCAAAGAAATTTGAAAAGCATATACTTGGCCAAAGAGGGGAATCACTTTAAACTTAAACCATGCTTTACTCTAAGATATGATCCCTCTTTCAGCAAGATATTTGATGAAGGAATTAAATGAGGTCAAATGATCAAATATGAAAAAAAATGAAAATTTTAAACACTAATTGGAAGACAAGTTACTCAACGAAGAAGTTCTTAGTATAACAGTGCTGTATTAGCCAAACTTTATTTAATCATTTTTCTGTTAATTCCATAACGTCCATGAGGCCAATAAAATGCACATGTACTGGCTATAGAAATCAAGTTAAATATAAAAAACCCTAAAAAAATCCCTATTTTTCAGAGTTGACTTTCTTCAAAAAATTTTCTATCCTAGATTACACAAATTGTTTGGAAGATCTTATGCATCAAGAAGGCCCCTTAAATATCAATTGCTGTCAAACTTTAACCAGTTCACCTATATTAATTTGCTTGTGTCCATAAACCCAACATAGAGAAATGCTCATTGATATACCACCAAGTTGAGAATAGCTCAGGTCCACAAATTTCAAGGGTAAACATCACAATCATACTGGTCGCAGCATGAGATTGCCGTCAACAATGTTCCAATTAGAAAGAATTTTTTTCCTAAGAATAACATAAACTATTTTCCTTCACTATGCTTTCAAACAAGGACAGATGCAAGGAGCACAATCTTTGATACTGAAATGGCAAATATAGGATCAAGGCATAACCCACTGGGAAACCATTACTGCTTTGACCCATGGGACTTTAAATTTCAAAGCAAGAAGCACAATTTCTGGTAGTGAGATGGCACCTACGGGGTCAAGGCATAACCACTTGGAAGAAGAAATAGACAGTAACATGAATGTGAACTCTTCCCTCTAGTCTTGAAATTCTTTGTCCACATGCAATGCACATACAGAACTCTAGTTGTTTGTGCATCACTTGACTTAAGATAATAAAAATAATAAGAACATATCCAAATGAATTTCTAATGTCCATGATTCTACTGTAATATCTAAGGTGTGTCTGAATGCTGAATTTCTAAAAAAGTTATAAAGTACTCACAAGTATTTTCTAACTAAGAAACAAGTTTGCATTGAATTTGTTGCCTGACAAATACCTAGACGATTAAGGTAGAGCCTGAACTTCACACTGTATCAAACCTTAAGCTGACTTGACCATTTGAGAACTATGCTGGATATTTCTCTCAGTTTCATTTTCCTTTGGTACCTGATTAGGCATTATTATACTCCTTACTGCCAAAAGGAACAAGCAATGAGCGCTCATACTCTAATTGATAAAGAGATTTTACCATGTTAAATCTGACAGTGGTACACCAAAATTTGCAAATATGTTAGATAACCAAAGAAAATTTACAAACAATGACTTCTATGCCTCCTTTGGCATTGTATTTGTCCATTAAAATATACATTGACTTGGTTTAACTTGAACTCTAGAAGGGTTTTTTCAATTCTATTTGTAGCAGAAAGCTTCAGCAAGATGACCTGCTTCATTCCATAGAAAGATGCTCAAAATCTCAAACCTTGCAAACATCTCTTTCAAAGAGGTTTACATCTTTATGTAGTGCCAAAACAATACAACTATACAAGTGTCCATAATGTCCGCTCTATAAGCTATTTTTGAAAATATTGTAATGAAGATTTAGCAACAACTTGTAACACACAAAGCAATTGCACAACTAATGCACAGATAGATAAGATGATTGGATGGTACTTAAACATTTTGATTCCACTAAAATGAAGACTTTCGTGACTGTATATGGATATCTAAGAAATGGATCATGTCATTAATACTGGGTCCCCACTGGGAACAATCAAGCTGACCTAAAAGGTGAGTTCTTAAATTATAATTTCAAGATATGTTGTATAAATCCAAAACCTAAGACAAGCTTCTTGACATGAGAATGTCACAAAAGTTTGATGATAGGAACAGTTGAAGGACACCATAATGAGCCTGATTTGGAAGAGACATAATATAACTGTCAGCTAGGTGTCTGAACCTATGATAGACCAAGATTATAGTTGTTTACATATTAATTGCTAATTTCTACTGGAATGAGACCTATAAAGATACATTATATTGGTTATAGAGAACAAGTTTAACAGTGATATCTCTTCCTTTCAAAAGTTCTCTCTAGTGTTTACTGCCTGGTTATTATCCTTTACCATTTCTTCCTCTTATCTTTGCCTACTCATCACTCGAGTTGCTAAAATAATTTCAGAGCTCTAGTCAAATTTTGAGCATTTGACTTACCATTGACCAAAAGAACTTTGTTTATAAAATCAAATGAATCTAAACAATTAACACTTTTTGAATTTTTTAAATCTATAATTGGTAGTTCAATCTAAAAACTTATTCACAAGATTTTGCATACACTTCTTGAGGTGGATTCAAATTCCATTAATTGTGAAATGATTAAAGGAAATGACATGTACTCAGATTTGAAAAAAAATCGAAATTATCAATTAGGCTGGTTTGGGAGGCAATTTACTGCTCAAAGCCCACCATATTGACCAAACTTAGAGCTTGTTGTAGATGTTCATATATTTTGGCTACATTTAATTGACCTTGAGGAACATCTATCTACTTTCGAAGCAAAGAGGACAGAAAAAAAATCTCTGTTTGTCCCAAAACTTCTGGTTGTGTTGGGATTTTTGTTCCCCTTTACTCTGTTCCTCCTATCATCTTGCGATTCATGCTACTGAGAACAGTTCAACATCCCATTTCACAAGGACCACAAGTATATCATCTTGATCCTAAACTTACCCTGGTCCAAAGAAAAACTGATCATTGCAGTCTATGCCTTGCTGATGTAGTCAACTGCCTTGATCCTTAAAACAACAATTAGCAGTTTGATCAAATACCACGTTCGCGTACTCTACCCAATCTGGTACAGTCTCCAATTTGAAAGAAACTACAGAACTCGATCATATGAATAATGCCAATTGCCAAACCTTACAGCGTGTTGTTCATATATTTTGGCTACACATAAATGACCTTGACATCAAAGCACTTCGTAAGTAAATGGGTCAGAAAGAAAATCTATGGTCCTCCCAAAACTTGGCTTCGTGTTGAGAATTATTTTGCCCTTGACTCTCTTCCTCGTATCATCTTGCCTTTCAGGCTGCTTGGAACCGTTCCACAACTATATCATCCTGATCCGAAACTTACACTGGTCTAAAGTAAACCTGCTCATGACGGTCTATGCCTTTTTTATGTAGTCAATTTCCCTGAGCCTTACAACAACAATTAGTAGTTCGATCAAAGACCACATTCACGAGATTCTTACTCTTCCTGATCTAGTGCAGACCCCAGTTGGATAGAAACTACAGTATCCACAAGTCGATCGTATCAATAGCGTCAGATTGACATAAGAGAAGGCTTCCTTCTCCAAGTCAACCAGTCAAAAGAGAAACAACACCGGGTAAACTCAGCTCCGGTACGGAAGAAGACAGAGATGGGGGATCGGAGGCGAAAACATACCGCGAACACGGAGAAGGAAGAGGAAGGGTCGCCAAGAACGCGGCAGCAGTCGGTCCTGATGAGGAAGTAGTCCTCGCCCTTCTTGGACTGGGCGGCGCAGCCGTAGCGGATGCGCGGCCGCTCCATCTTCTCCATCCTCGCCTCCTCGCCGATCAGCAGCGCGAGGGGCACCATCGCGCCGCTGCTATGGCGGCGGCGGCGCTCGCCGTCTCCGCCCGCCATCCCCGCCGCCTCGCTACCTCCGATCCATGGCGGAGCAGGAAGGAGCGTCGCAATCGGAAGGGCGCAGGCGCAGATCTGGACGCGGGTGGCAAAGGGAGGAAGGAGGAAGAAGAGGGGAAGCGATCATCAACAAACAAACAACGCGGAAACACTGCGAGTCCTCAATGGAATCCAAGCATTATTATATACTGCATGCCGATCGAAGCCCAACCCAACCCACCGTTCGCAACAGTTGGCGCGGCTGCGGAGTGCGGAATGCGGAGTGCGGAGATGGAGCAGTGGGAACAAATATATGAGTAGTATATCATAATTAAAATTCATAATACCAAAAGCCAATCATACCAATTGAGTAGATGATGCAGTGGCAAAAGGAAAACAAGAAATAAAGTATTTCTTGGTGTACTCACACTTTCCCTTTTCCCTTTATTTATTTAATATAATATATTTTTTAACGTGCCAAGATGAAAGGATAACTAACGTATAAAATAATTGAAGGAAAAGAAAATAAAATACATATTACCAAACTAACTGCTGGGAGAATAAATATTTTTTGGAACCTTTTGAGACATTCTAGTGGTTAGTATACCATTGTATAAATGAATCTACATTTGAGTGTATCAGACATTGGTTTTTTCCCCCAGATCTAGGAAAAAGATATCCAATAAAAAGAAACATAATTTAAGTAAAATAAATAAATGAATTCTTGAAAAAAATAATAAATTTGGTTTTTTTTTTTTTCTCTGTACAACACTCGTATTTTGAAAAATACCCAAACGACATCTCTTGATGAGCTATTTTATCTAAGACAACTATGCTCAAAATAGTGGGTTTGGACTATCTATTCAATAAGATTTTGCTGATCGGTTTGAGTTAAAATTTTTTTTTTTCTAAGAAAGCCCATGAAGTGGCTATCGTCTTAGTACTGGTGGTGATATCGATGAAGAGGCAAAAGAGTTTTCATTTGTTACTTTTTTTTCTTTTCTTCCATACGTGAAATGTTGGTGTTCTTTGTCTTTTCCTTTTTTTCCTTTGTATTTTTTTTTCCTTTCTTCTTGAATCAAGAACGCAAAAAATATTATGTAAGTATATTATTGTCTTTATTACTTCTCAATCATTTACTAGTTATTTAGATAAAATATATATATATATATTCATGAATATTCATGAATATTATGGTATTAAAATTATTTTTGTTACTGTTCGATCATTTAATGGCTATTTAGATAAGATTATATATGGATATATATATATATATATATATATATATATATATATATATATATAGGGTTTTTATGAATAGTATGGTATTTAAAGCATCTTTCGTTGTTTGATATTTATTTTTAAATGTATGAGCTTGAAACATTGCATGTATCAAGGTCTTCATATCGTACTTTCATGTAAGGCAAAAATAATGAGCTTTAAAAAAAAAACATTGCATATATCTTTATTACTATTCACTGTATTTTGCCAAAATAGTGCGTCGCATATTTGTAAAAAAATTCTGATGGCCAATTTTTTTTATCAAGTGTTCGAGACCCTGACTGGAATGTCAAATATCAACGATCATTGCATGAGTAATTAATATTTTTGAGGAAATTTTAAAATATATTTTTAAAATTAAAAAAAATAACATTTTGTGTAGGACCTAAATAATTTTTAAAATAAAAAATTACTGATATATGTTCATCTAGATTTAGTTGAAAGGCATCCTAAAACTTTTAAGGCGTTTTGAGATGTCATAGTATGTGATACATTATTTTTGGATTTTGGTCAAAAATAGTGCATTGCATATTAATAATTTTTTTTTATGACCAATTTTTTACCAGATGTTTGATACCTAATTAGAAGGTCAAATGTCAAAAAAAAAAAAACATGAATGCATGATATTTTTGTGAAAATTTAAAATATATATTTAAAAATTAGAAAATACTATGCAAGATCTAAATAATTACAAAAAATATTAAAAATTCTCTAAAAATAGAAAAATATTGGCATATGTCCATCTAGATTCAATTTAATGGTAACCAAAAAATTTCAAGGCATTTTGATCAGTTCTGCTATGCAAAGCATTATTTTGGAATCTTAGCCAAAAATAATATATCACATACTAGTAAAACTTTTTTGATAGTTAAATATTTAATAGCTGTTTAAGACATAATTAGAAGGTCAAATGTCAAAAAATATTGCAGGAGCACATGATATTTTTGAAAAGTTTTGAAAAAAATCAAAAATTATAAAATGGCACACTATGTAGGAACTCAATAATTCTAAAAATAATAAAATCCCCTAAAATAGAAAAAACACTGATATATATATATATATATATATATATATATATATATATATATATATATATATCATTAAAAGTATCCAAAAAATTTTAAGGTATTTTGATAAGTCCAGCAATGCAATGCATTATTTTTGAGCTTTAGCCAAAAATAATGCATCATATATATTAGTAAAACTTTTTTATAGTCAAATTTTTACCAGGTATGTGAGACTTAATTAGAAGGCCAAATATCAAAAAAATTACACTAGTGCATGATATTTTTATAAAAGAATATTTTTTTAGAAAATAAAAAATGACACAATGTGCATGAGCAAAATAATTCTAAAAAATATGAAACAATTTTTTTTAAAATAGAAAAATACTTATATATATCCATCTAGATCAAATTCGATATATCTTCAAAATTTCAGGATATTTTGACAAGTCCTGCTATGCAATGTACCATTTTTGGATTTTGGCCAAAAATAATGCATCACATATAAGAAAATATTTTCTAAGGGTCAAATATTTACCAATTGATTACAACCTTATTAGAAGTTTAAACATAAAAAATTATTGCATGAGTGCAAGATATTATTGTGAAAATATAAAAAAATAAAAATAAATAAAAAAATGATACAAGTAGCATGAGTTAAAAAATCTAAAAAAATAGAAAAATACCAGTATATGTCCATCTAGATTAAGTTTAAAGTTATATTCAAAATTTTAAAATATTTTGACAAGTCCTGTTGTGCAATGCATTTTTTTGAATTTTGCTCAAAAAATTGTGTATCACATATAAGAAAATATTTTATGAATGTCAAATTTTTACTAGGTGTTTGGGACCTAATTTGAAGCTCAAATATTAAAAAAAATTACACGAGTGAATGATATTTTTATTAAAAAATTAAAATATTAGAGAAAATTATAAAATGACACCCTACGTAAGAACTAAAAATTCTAAAAATTTAAAATAAAATAAAAGAAAAAACATTTATATATGTCCATGTGGATCCCATTATCAGATAAAAGTAATAGCCTCATAAGATAAAAGTAAATGATAGTAAAATATAAAGTCTTTGTGAAATAAATGATAGTAGCTCGTGGTGGAACTAATATCCTCATAATTATTAAGTTTAATAAAGGAACTAATATCCTCATAATTATCAAGTTTAATAAAGATCATGATTATAATTTGTCAAGAATAAAAAATACAATAGTTCTTTCATCACTATTCAAAGCAAATATAAGTTGTTATAAATGTTAATTATACTCCAAAGATGACTGTTACTTATATTAAAAAATATAAAGTTATTTTATACAAGTGCATGAGAGATTGCTCTTAATGAGTTTTGTAATGATTTTAATTAGTAATCTAGTAATATAATTATATTTTTAAGAGGGTTAAAAACTATATGACTACGAGACCCATGTCCAAATGATAGTTTCATCAAAAAGTTATTTTCATATATTATGGGAGATTGCTCTTAATGAGGTTTGAATAGCGCAGAATAAAAAATAAATTTATTATTTAATTATCTCAAAAAAATTTATAATTAGTGTGGGTTATGAAAGAATATACCTTACTAGTATGTGATATCTCAATAAATTGATTATGCTTAGTAGTTGATCCATAAAGTTTTTCATCCAGGAACTATCCAACCATATTGGCTTTTCAACTCCTCTTCATAATTAGAATGACTACGAGCATCAATAAATGAAACTATAAAGAAAAAATTTAAAATTATCAATGATAATTAAATAAAAATTATATAAAAAATTCATATAAATAAAAACATACCTATGTTTAAATCAATATTCTTACAATTGGATTTAGACATTCTACAAGTATAATAAGTGTTTGATTATATGATTATTTTCTGTTTAAAACTAAAAAGGGTTAGAATTAATAATTTAATAAAAAAATATCTAATTAGAAAAAAATAAGGAGAAAATAAAAAAAATAACACACTATTCATATGCTCAAAAATCTATAAAAATATCAAAAAGATTTCTAAAATAAAAAACCAGTGACATATGTCCATAAGTATTGCATTCAAAGTTTTTCTAAATATTTCAGATCATTTTGAATAGGGCATCATATTTTTATATTTTTCTTCAAAAACAGTGTATCACCTATCAAGAAAATTTTTTTCTTGACTAAATTTTCTACATTTATTATTGACATATTTAGAAACTCAAATGTGAAAAAGTATTGTATGGATGCATTATAATTTGTTAGAAATATAAAAACAAGGAGAAAATAAAAATGATGCATAATTCAAATGCTAAAAAATAGAAAAAAATACCAAAAAATTTCAATGGTGATATCACTTTCTGACTTAGACAAGATTTCAAGCGAGACTCATTTGTAAATAATCAAATTACATAGTTTTTCTCCAAAGGCAAAAGTTAGAAAAACACTTTAGGTTAGCTTGTCTTCGCCATGTTTAAGAACAAATTAATCTTAATATCAGTGACCAGACTGTACCATTCACCATTTAGAGAATATCCCTCTTTATATAATTATATAAAGTAATATAGTTAACTTTGTTGAATCCAAATCTGATTATTGTAAGGTTCTGAATCAAAACTCACTGTTGGTGCAATAACCCAACACGTGCTAAGCACGTGTTGCCAAGCCAATTTAAGCCCTTTTAAAGTCTCGCTCGCTTACAGCAGACGCGCATTTAGGACGTCGTCCTCGTCGCCGCCGCAGGCCGGCCCTGTCTCGTCTGAGAATTGCGCCGGAGAAAGAAAGAGAGAGGGTTATTTAGATATGAGGTATGCATTTGTTTTCCTTCGAGCGAAACGTGTCTTCGCCACTTTAGAATTTCCTATTCTTTCTCTTTCTCGGATTTCCGCTCCGGCGTAGGTACACTGACCACGCCGACACCGACACGAATCCAGACTCTGACACATGTAGTTCCGGTGGCCGGAAAATACCCCGGTGCTGCCGACGCAGGAACTTCGAACCTTGGTTTACTATTCGCTTATTTCTTCCCCATTCTCCTTTAGTGACAGTTGTTGGTATGATATAATATCACGAGACACTATTGTGAACTTAATCTGTTGGTTTCTTGAATCCATAATAGGATGTTCGTTGTAGTGCGGATGGCACTAGGAACATGTGGTAGATTGGAATATTGCATAAAAAGATCGATTTTTTAGTAGTTTTATTGGTTAGTTAATTGGTCACATTTCTTCATGGAAAGTGTGACACGCAACTTTATTTTCCTGTGATGATTCCGTAAGGCTGTACCAAAATGGTTCCGACACCTATTGTTTGGCTCTTGAAATCATCGAGAACAAGTTCGACATGCCACAGCTACATGACTATTCACAACTGACGGAATTGTTTGTTCAAAAGCTGGCGTTACAGCAATGCAACAAACCAGTTCCAAAAACGTCCCATTTATCTGGTGTTCCAGGAAACACATGTTTGTGGCTTTTATAGGTTTTTAACACATGGTTATTGGCTTTATTAGCATATAAACGAATAAACACTGTCTCATCTATTAGTTTAAGCTGTTAGATGATTTGACAGATTAAAAATCCAACATGATATTGGCATTGGATGTCTGTGTCTTAGTCTCCACATCGTCATACCAAACCCTTAAATGAATTATGAATCTCCTCTAATAACCAGCGAAATCAAGAAAACTCCTCATCTCTAGAGGATTTCTTGGAAGTTTTCCATTCTAGAAACTATATTTTTCCTCCCAATTTAATTCAGAGTTTCATGTGTTGGGCTGTGACCATTTTGCCAACCCACTTATGAGTTAGAGGGTTATAATATTAATGAATAAATTGTGGTTCATCTGTCAGTTTAAGCTTGTGGATGATTTGGCATAGGCTAAAAGTTTAACAGCTTGATTTTAAAATTGGGATGAACATGTTTGTATATATTATTTACTTGCCTGTGCTCGTTGATGGTGTGATTTCTAGCAATAGATATATATTATTTTGTATGGTGTATAAGGTTGTACCTCTGTGATTTAAGAGCCTCATGCACCTTTATGGTTATTTATCTTTTAATAAGTTGTCTGACATATTATTTGCTACTTTTCTCAGTCGTCATCCTGAAGTCAAATTGGCTCAGAGGCTTGACAAAATTTACATCACTGTTCAATTGCCCGATGCAAAAGATGCAAAAGTTAATCTGGAACCTGATGGCATTTTCACATTTTCGGCCACTGCCGGTGCTGGAAATAGCACTTATGAGTTAAAAATGGATCTTTATGATAAAGTAAATAAGGAGGTATGGTTTTATTATCAATCATGAACTGATTTGTCATATTTTTTTTTGTTCCTAGTCGTTTATTCTTGCTTAAACAATGCCATCCACTAGGCAAGCAAAATAAATGTTGGTGTCAGATCTATCTTCTGTGTGGTAGAAAAAGCAGAGAAAGGATGGTGGAAAAAGCTTCTGCGTGGTGATGGAAAGGCTCCTCACTATGTCAAAGTTGATTGGGATAAGTGGGTAGACGAAGATGCTGATGGTACACCTCCTTATTGTTTATACCGTTTCTTATAGTTGCATGAAGAGGATGGATATCACATGATGCACATCATTTATGTGCTTATACTAACTCTAAATGAACGCATAAATATTCATAATGGGGAACTGTGACCTGAAGTAGTATTTTTGGTATTATAGTCAAATAATAGTCTCTAGCAAATCCACAGCCAATATGAGAATCAAACTAGAGTTTCTGTTGCTAGTATATACATTTTTCAAACTTCTGAGCATGCTCACATTATGCCTCGTGCCAGGGCCCTTTGTTAGTGCTTATGTGGATTGACTAGGTGGGCCATACATTTTGGATTAGGTATTGTGCTGTGAGACTTCTGCAAAGTGCCTATCTTGAAACGTCAAGAAGCATAATGGACAATATCTGCTCTGTTGGACAACCAAACAAACCAATTTTTATCATTACCACCATTCATACATATGGATTTTGTTGCAATATTAAGTGTCTAATCTGAGCCCAAATCATGTATTTGGTAAATATTTTGCAACTTAACTTATCAAAAAAAAAAATGCTTTGCAACTTACATTTAACAATTTTATGCATTTTGGGCATTTCATATTGATGTTGAGCATTTGGGTGATATAGTCTGGCTTAGAAGCTGACCCAGGAGTATCTAGTACTCGCCGGATGTGGGTCTACTGGATAACTAGACACAAGTCCATGCATCTCGAGAGTTAAGTAGATACATCTCTGTTATATGCTGTGTTCTATAACTAGAGTTAACTGAGACGAGGAAAATGATACGAGTAAGATGAGGTGGTCAAGGCAGAGAAAAAGAGGAATGAGTTAGGAGATATGAGCGTTACCCTCATCTTTCAGTGATGAGGTGATTGGAGACCGACAAGGGCTTCATTGGGACCCTTTACTACATCAAAGCAGTGATTTCAATAGACGTTCGGGCGAGGCGAGGCGAGGCGAGGCCCGAGCGCCTCGCTTCACGTCCAGGCGCCTCGCTTCAAAGAGGCGCCGCATGGGCGCTTTGGGCGAGCGCCTGGGTTAAACCAGGTGACCTAACCAGATTTTTTAGGTCTGGTTGGTCTCTGGTGCTTTAGTTGGTTCAATCGAACCAACTAAATCACCGATATCAGGCTTCCTCTCGCGATTTCCGCGACTTCCCTAACCCTAACACTCGCGATTTTGCCGTCGAGATTTTTTCTCCGCTATCGCTGCTCTCTGCTGCCGCTGCTACTATCACTGCTCGCTGCTACTGTCGCTACTCGCCGTTGCCGCAATCGCTGCTTGCCGACTGCTCGCTGCTGCCACAATCGTTTCTCGTCGCTGTTGTCGTCGCTCGCTGCTGCTGTCGTCGCTCTCGTTGTCGCTCGCCGCACTCGCTATCGCTTGCAGCTCCCGCTCCCACTCCCACTGTCGCTCGTCGCTCCCGCTGTCGCTCGTCGCTCCCGCTGTCGCCGCCGCTCCCGCTGTCGCTCGTCGCTCCCGCTGTCGCCGCCGCTCCCGCTCCAACTACGGCTGTCGCTTGCAACCGCTGCCGTTGCCTTAGCAGCCTCGGTCTTCTCACTATACTGTTAACAGTATATTAATAGTATACTACTAACTATATACTAATAATAGTATTTTTATTTATTAGATTAATAATATATTATTTCGATTATAATACTATTAATTTTTATTTATTTAATAGTATATTTTTTATTTAAAAAAATAAAAAAATACTATTATGATTTATTTATTTATTGTGATTTTGTACTCGATTTTTATAATTTAATGATATTTTTTATTTAAATAATTATATTTATTAATTATATTATATATTTTTATATTTTAGCGTCTTGTTTCGCTCGGGCAAGCGCCTAGCGCCTCGGGAATTTTTGGACCTTAGCGCATTTTGGCGTCTAGCGTTTTTTAAATCACTGCATCAAAAACATATGGCAGGAATGAATTGACATGTTAGAAACTTTTTTGTATTAATGATTTTTCATAGTAGATACTTAGAAACTTGCTTTCATCTTCATAAGTATATATACACATTTCTAATTTCTTCCTTGTGTTCTTCAAGGATACTTGAGGTATGATTTGCATACATATGTAGATGCTGTTACTTGAGAAACCATTATACATAATTTATTATTTTTATAAACTATTGATAGGTGAAAAAAAGCACTATACAATTTATATTAATGCTATTTTTATGCTATATTGCACCCTTCTTATTTAGCATTTGCCATATACTCTTCTATCTTGTATTCGACCTGGCTTTGTGGAATATATACTATGTATCAATCACATTGCCTTTTCATATGAGCACTGCATATTGACTCATTCAGACATTAAATAGATTTTTTTGGACTTGCATCTTTTTAGAATTAATTATGTCCGAAGAACTAAAGAACCTTGAGAATCATCATATTGCAGATAAATAACTCATAATATTAAGAACAAGAGTAGGCCGTTTATACTCAAGACATGCTTGGAGAGTGACTTGCAGGGGATTTAGAACCTTTAATGATTCAGTTTGTTCAATTCTATGGATCAAATTTAATCTTTTATGCATATATTTGGTGGTAAAATTGATTCCATGATTTTGCATTTTGTACACCATTTGCAAGTACTAAAATCTGTGTTTTTTTTCACTTTATCAGGTCCTGGTGATTTGGACTTGGGAGGGATGGATTTCTCAGTAATGACCACTTCAGTATACCCTTCTTCCTACTAATTTTTCGTTTATCAATTAATTTATGTTATACATGTATCTCATGTGCAGAATTTTGGTAATATGGGAGGTGATGCTATGGATGATGATTTTGAAGATAGTGACGATGAAGGTAAATTGATTACAACCTCCTATTTATTAAGTTAACCTTGTATGTTTGGATACTTTTTAGCCTTGGACTTCTAATATATAGTAGTTCTGATGCTTGTATATACAACTAAAATCCTTGTAGGCTTCATAATGGCATCATTATGAACGCATTTGCTCATATATTCACATGAATGATCTCCATTAGAAGTATTAATAGTTTGATAGTTTACTGGTTTATTAGCCTATACTTCCTTGACCTACATATCATCCATCTGAAGTTTGGTATTTTGCATATACAGATCTTGATTTCAGATCTTCAAATTCAAGCTCACAAAATTATATCTATGTGATAGAAAACTTGCTTTCTTGATGTGGTTTATGCATGGATCTTCTATAATTAGAAGGATCTGTTTTATGTAGACTAACATAAAATTCATCGATGAAGATTAGTTACCCATGGAAACACTCGATATTGCATCAAGAATTGAACAATTTTGTCAAAATTGGGATCATATTGCAAATCATAGAAGGCCTTGAGCTAGATCAAATCATAACTCAAGAAACCTTATTTTCTGTGAAGTTAATTAATATGTCAAGAAACAAATATCATAATTTACTTAATTTAGATTTCTTGCTTAAAAAATGTCAATATAATTAATTAAGATTTAACAAATAATAAAATTATTGAATTTTAACTGTCTCTGTCCTTAAAAAATATATAATATTATTCTGACATTAAATGTTTTACTGGTGATCTTTTCAAATTTCTTGTAAGTTTATTATCACAAATTACTTAGTTCAAAATATAGGAAATATCTCAATAATTCATAGAAAACAACTGTCTAATACAAGAATAAATGATTAAGTTGGATATTACCAAACCTATGAGTTGTTTAGTTGACAAAACTGATCTATTTGTTATGATCATGAATTGTTTAAGGCCATTTTAATTTAGATTGTAAAATCAAGATCATTGAATCATAAGATCTTGTGCTAGTGAATATTGTCTAAACTTTGCTTGACTTTAAATTGATAGATAATTCCCTCAAATAATGTTGTTACTGTAAATAATTCCCTCAAATATTGTTAATACTGAAAACTTAAGAGTTGGTATAATTAATAAGTTTTTGTAAGGTCAACGAAAATCGTTGATAAAAGAAAATAACTGGTAGATACTCGAAAACTCATAAAAAAGCATGGTTAGTACAACAACCTAAAAATAATACATTAAAACATTTTTGTTATATGTTTTGCAAAAATATCCACCCCTTAGGATTTTCAATTGCTACGGACAAGTACATGGATTTGCAATGTGGCATTGTAGAGATTTTTGTCCTTTATTGTATAGATGGACAAGTCATCTGGGTTACATTAATCCATGTCATGTGGTTTGATGTTGGTGGTTGAATTTGTGTTGACCTGCTTGACTTGGTTCGAGTTCGATTAATATAAAAATTTTGGTCTTACCCAACGTCTTGATCTCTCGAAGAGGTATTGATCCCAAGGTGTGCTTTTTGCACAAAGATCGGCATTGGAAGGGCTTCTCAATAGATCTCTTTGACGTTCAAATTAGGCTCTCAAAGTGGGATTAGAATGTAAAAAAAAAAAAGAGAGTCTGACCTTGGTAATCCTGTTCATCTTCGTCTTTTATAGTCGGTTCTCTCCTAGATGCTTGCGGTTAGGAACAGTATTTTGCAAAACAGAAAATATTTAGATAATATTTTTTGTCTGGCTTCTACTGACATGGTAGAGCCAGTAGTTGAGACCTTTTATCATTAATAGGTGATGTGATTGTCATGTGTTGAGCAACAGATTAAGATGGATATTTCCCATATCGATTGTCCCTTGAAATTGTACTAGGGGGTGTTTTTGAATGGGTGCTAAAATATAATTTAGACACACTCGCTTTTGGTGGACTCGTGAGTGTTAAAGGTTGCTTTCACAGTTTGGGTGTCTTAGAGGGATCATTATGGTTGGCCTGAAGGCATCTCAGTTAGTCCTCGATGCTCCTCCCGAAGAGGTCCTTGATGCTCAGTCCTAAAAAGATGCATCGGATGGTCCACGATGCTTAGCTTGAGGAGGGCACATAAGGTGATCCATGATGCTTAGCCTGATGTGGGTGCATTGGATAATCCATGATGCTTAACCTGAGAAGGACGCATCGGGTAATAAAAAATACTTAGCCCGAGGATGGCCTATTGGGTGATCTATGATGACCTCAAGGAGGGTGCATCGGACGATTTGTGATGCTTAGCTCGAAGAGAGCATATCGAGTGATCCATTATGGTTATTGCCTAAGGAGAGCATTGAGCAATCCGCTTTGCTTAGCCCGAGGAGGGTGCAACGGGCAATTTGTGATGTGTAGCCTGAAGAGGGCATATCGAGTAATCCATTTTGCTTAGCCTAAGGAGAGCATCGGGCAATCCGCTTTGCTTAGCCCGAGGAGGGTGTATTGGGTGGTCTATGATGCTTAGCTGGAGGAAGATGTTTAGCTCAATGAGGGCACATCAGATAAATCACGATGCTTAGTCCAATGAGGGCACATTGGGTGGTCTGTGATGCTTACTTGAGGAAAGCACATTGAGTAATCCATGGTGTTTAGCCTAAGGTGGGTGCATTGGGTGGTCCTTGATACTCGATCCTCGGAGGACACATCGGATGATCTATGATACTTAGCTCGAGGAGGGCACATCAGGTGGTGATGCTTAGCATAAGGACACACATGGTGATCCATAGTGTTAATCCGAGAAGGGCCCATAAGGTGATCTAGGATGCTTAGCTTGACTAGGGCGCATTGGGTGATCCATGATTCTTAGCCCGAGGAGGGTGCATCGGATGATCTGTGATGCTTTGCTCAAGGAGGGCATATCAGATGATTCACAATGCTTAACCCAGTAGGGCACATCGAGTGATCTTCTTTGGGATTTGATTTGGCAGGTGGGTCAAATGTCATCGCACGTGTTGGTCAACCTTCTTGGTAAGCGAGAATTGGGTGAGTGAGAATCCTTGAATGGGAAATATCTTAGTGGGAAATTGAGGACATAAAAGGTGAAAAGATGTTTGATGCTGATGCCCTATAAAGGGCATTTTTTGGGGCGGAAGAGGCCTCACTCTCTAAGGCTTCTTGAGTCCATAGCCTCCTAGCTTGCAGCCCCTTAGTCCTTTTAAAGCACTCCTTTTTTTCTCGGATGAAGGAAATGGCCTTTTCCACCTCTTTCGAGTCTCAATCCCTTGATGATTGAAAGATCTATCTTTCAAAGAAGGGAGGCTATACTAAATTGGATCAAGATGCAATTGTCCTTTAGTTATCTTCCTATGGGAATTTTTTCGTATAATTCAAAAGCCAGTGAAATCTCTCTTTATCATTAGGGTCTATATATGAGATAGAGAGAGGGAAAGGTTCAATTTTTGTGTCCTCACTTAATTTGTTGTATCTTCCATTTGTGTGCTTTTCCTAAGATGTGTAGACTCTACCGAGGATTTATGCATTTGAGACTATATATTGTTGTTTTAAAAGCCTTTTATGCACGAGGGTCTTCATCCATGGATTTGAAGTCTAGGTTTTGAAAATGGTAGCATGCCTTTAACTCAAGGGATCATGAGGTTTAGATCACGGTCGAGGGTGTTGAAGTCCTATCCTTGGATAGCCTAATGTCGAGGTTAGGGAGGGTGTCATCTTCTTCAGATGGGACATCAATTGAAGAAGGGCTCGATGCTTCGTTTGGTAGTGATCCTCTCCTCTTCCTTAGTTATCAAACAAAGAGTCGAAGATCGATTGATCGATGTTAACCTGAGCCCAGGTCCTTGGGGTACGTCTTTGTGTTTCGTTCCTTTTCATTTTAGCATTATTTTCCTAATGTTTGACTTGATACCTCGTTGCATGAATGGATCTCACGAAGCTAAAGCGAAAGGTGGTTGCCTCGATCGCTCTTGCTTCCATGCGAATTCCATCGAGGAGTTCGTTGTCTTAGCTTTGTTGACAACTTCAACGACCTGGGTGCTAGAGAGGAGTGTGCCAGTCGAGGCATCGATTGAGGTCAAGTCGTCCTGAAAGCATGGGGTGGTGATGAAGGGAGGATATTTAGCCTCCACGTTGAGGAGGCATCGGACAGTGCTACCCCGACACCCCAGTGCCTAAGGCAGGATCAACGTCAAAAAGATCGTGGCATCAATACATGCATGACTTGTGCAAATGCAAATCGGCACCTTTCGTTGCCCTCCAGGCGTCGAACTTGCTTGACCTGATGGAAGGAGAACCCTTGAAGGCACGATGGTACTCGTTAAAGGCATCTGATGCGATATGGAAGGATGGGCACTTAGTCAGCTAATACCTCCGAGGGGTTCTCATCCCTCCTCTAGCCAAGGAGGTGTACACATTGCCCTTCGAGGTGATGATCGAAGAGGTGACTAAACATGTTGTGGTGGTAAGTTCTTCCAATTTGCTAAGTTCCCTGTTGGGTTTTTCACCACAGTATTCTAACATGTTTCTTTTGGTGCAGCATAACCACTATTTGATGGGGATTATTGATTGGTTTTGTGACTCAGGGAGCATCGTCTCCTTCCTAAGTGAGGAGAAGGATAAGCTTGAGGTTGAGGAAAGAGCGGGCCGATCCATGAATAATTGTCAAGCTGAAGGTAAAGCCTGTCAATCGGGAAACAAGGTTGATCGAGGAACAATAGTGCATTGATGCCCTTGTTGAGAAGAATGGCTGACAAGCGAACCAATTGAATATGATCCGGGAGCACAACTGTCAGATGCAAGATTAGTTGCTAAAGCTTCAAGGAGAAATCAATATGCAAAAGACAAAGATATTTGATCTAATGAAGCAACTTCGGGTTGAGAAAGCATTGGCTCAGAAGCTAGCAATTGAGACGGTTGCAGCCTATAAGGAGTCGGAGGGATTGCCTTCTTCGAGTGGGGGATGCATCCTTCAAGTGTGGATATCTCCTGCTATCACCCAAACAAAAACCAAGTATCTTGACCTCCAAGTTGAAGAAAATCCTTGCGTTGACTTGCCGAAGGACAAGTTGGTGTCAATGGAGACCCACATCGACTTCAACGATAACTCGATGTCCCTATTGGATGAAGGCGTCGATGCCTCTGGAATAGAAGTTGTCAACATATTTGTAACCCCTTAAATCTCCTTGTCCTTTCGTTTTTGTGGGTCGGAATCTAATGAATCACTTTTGAATCTTGTGTAAGGACCTGACTTGTATAATGTAAATAAATTTCAAAGTATCAATGAAGAATTTTTTGCTATATCATGTGTTTTGCTCGAAATACAAGTTAGGGATAAAATTTTCTAAGGTTCGATATATGTCAAGTTCGAGGGAGTGTTGTTCCTTTGGTTGTTTCGAGTTTTCATCTCGAATGACTTTAATGACCCTTTAAGGCCCTTCCTAGTTCAATGCTAGTTTTCCCCTTAAGTGAGTTTGATCCTTGACTTTAACTTTTCAAAGGACAAATCACCTAAGTCGATGCCTTGCTGACGAACACCTCAATTATTTAGTTTTGTTAGAGCTCTCTTGTACTTCAACATATGTTTCCTTGTCCTCACCAATGGGGTTTAGGTTTGTGCGAAGTCCCTCTTCGAAGAAAGGTTGTTTCCTCAAAGCCCTCTATTTGAGGTGTTGAAAAAATGACTTTAGGAGGTAAGATTGTCTCAGTACCATAGGCTAGGCTAAAGGGGATTCTTTCGAGGGGGATTCTCCCGATGCGGTCTTTGGCGTAGTCTAGGAAGCCCACAACATACTAAGTAGTTCATTGACACATATCCCCTTTGCATCAACGACACGCTTTGTGAAGTGACCTGATTCTGGTATCTCACGTTAGTGGGCCTATTGGTTTGAGGATGGGTCATCGAATTGAACTTCTAGAGTATGACATAACTCCATGAACTTTGAATTATTGAATTGATTTATGTTGTTTGTGATTATAGCTCTTGGGGTTTTGAACCTTGTAGTAATGTTCTTCTACACAACTCTCCACCTATGATTCTATAGAGGCTAGTGGCTTGGCTTTCACCCATTTGGTGAATTGGTCGACCTTACATTGAGAATTCTGCATTGAAAAGGGTTGAGGAGGTCTATTTCCCATCGGGCAAAGGCTAGGTGCAGTCTATCAGGCTTAGAGGAATCGTTTGTTGATGTTGGATTCCGGAAAATCTCTGGCATTGGTCGCCCATGGCATCCTTCTTCAACTTTCTAATAATATCCTTGTCGCAAAATCCCTTTTGCAGCACTTTGAATGCTATGACATCGGTTCACCCATCAATATGCTCTCTGCGTAGCCCCTCATGTACCTCAGCCAGGACCCTCTCAGCTTCCTAAGTGCCTTTCTGCTTTTCTCCACTTCTCATCACTTTGTTAAATGAAAAAAAAAAGATAATATAAAAGTTGGGAAAATTAGGTAAAAAAGAGAAATACATAAGTAACCTGATTCTCTTCACTTCTCACCAAATGTCTCCGGTTCAGGAGCAAAACAAGAGATCTCGGAAAGAACTGATTTTTCTCCAATCTTTCCACTTCTCTCCTGCTCTCCTATTATGTTCTCTTGTCCCTGGCTTTCTCTATTAAAACAGGCTGTTAACATCACCCTAACAATGATCACAGTTAAATCAGGTTAAGAAGTCCCTTTTCCATTTGGAATACTTTTCTTGTGAGGAAGAAGTAGGTTCTGGAAATATAAAGTT